TATATATATATATTCAATTGTAATAATATTTCACAATTTTACTGTGAAATGCAGCCTTTGGTGAGCATATAAGACTTCTTTCAAAAGCATTAAAAATCTCAAAGATCAAAATTCTGTAAAGTAGCCCAAAAAGTATATGGACACTCAAGCCACACTTACCTTCGCTTCAGAAGGAGCTTTATTTGCAGGTGTTTTACAGCCAAAAAGAGGTTCTTTGTCCTCATCATCTTCATTCTCAAACAGGAGAGATACTCTCTGAGATGACTTCTTACTGCGAGGACAGACAACAAAATTTTACAGCATAATGATTTATTGTTTCTCTCACTACTTAAGTACATTAACTGATCACCGATCCACAAACCTTGACTCATTTGTGGCTGCAAACAAATCATCATCATCATCATCAAACAGGCCGTCTTTTTGTGGTGTTTTGACACTGGGTAGCCTAGAGGGGGCGCTAACACTCGACTTCATCCCGCTGGACTTCACTTCCAGGCTCTCTCTGCTGAGCTTGGAGCTCATCCACTGATCCTGATATACAGACAAGCAAATGTTGTGCCATGTCATGTGATATCAGCATGCATCAACGATTGAACAAATAAAAATGCTATCAAAATAAAATGACAATTTTTGGCAGCTGCAGGGAGGGAAGCGGGTGCCAGGCCAGGGATTACGCTGACAGCTCCTGGAATCCGTGGCACTGCGCCTGGCAGAAGGCTGGCAGGGTTGACAACTAAGCTAGCCTGAAAGAAACAGATAGGTCTTTAAATCTGTGACAAAACTTAAAATCAATACACCCAGTGCCTATTGATCACATGCCAAGATCAGAGAGAGACTGGTTTGTACTATTTTAAAAGTACACTAGATTTGCATTTCTTGCAGGACATGGTCATGTATGCAAGGCAGCAACAGAATAGGGTAAAATCTAGGTTTTAGGTCTGTGTCAATAAGTCAAGATGCCTGTTTAAATTAATGCAAGAAAGAAATCACAATTCAGTATGCAGATTTTAGGTCAATGTCATAATTGTTGGTTATGTGGTAAATATAAATACACGGCTGCCTTGCAAACACTGTAAACAGCACATTGCTAGCTCAGAGCGCTGCATCAAGTGGTTTCCTGTTGGTGCAGTAATGGTTTACACTTACAGCATTGGCATAGAGAGAAACAATGTTATGGCAAAGCTACAGATGTTCTGGTATACCAGAAACAGTGAAAACGTTAACAGACAAGAATATATATATATATATATATATATATATATATGGTTTGCAGACATATAGATTTTTAACAGATTGTTGACAGGCATTGTGGAGTCATAAAACAGCTCAATGAAACGCAAGACTGTAGCTTTTGTTTGACTTCTGAGAAAGATCATGCCAAGAGGGCCAAGTCAAAAACAGAGAGAAATATAGAAAACACTGTTTTCACAATGAAAGAAATGGAAGTATAGAGATTTTATTTTTTTAAAACGTTACTTGAAGTTCTCCAATCCTTGAGGAGGTTTTTTTAGATTTTAGAGGGCTTGTAGGCTCCTGTGCGATTAAATAATATGAATTATATACAAGTCAAACAATAAAAACCAATAACCATTTTAACAGGTTCTGGAAATGTCACAAATAATATTTTATATGTGGTAAATAAAATAAAATAAAATGTTTAATTTAAAATATTTTAATCTCTATTTTCTACATGTAAACAATGGTTTTTGGAAAAATATTCTGTTGTATAAAGATGAATTAAAGCAACAAAGCAGATTTATTTCTGAGTATACCTTGCTTGAGGTCAGTGTTGATTTGTCCATTTCATTTGTTTTAGGCTTGCTGGACTTCTCAGGTACTTTCTGTATGTGGATAATATAGTACAAGTATTTAGCTTTTATGAAGTATAAAAAAAAAAAACCACAAAACTTGTACAAGTTGGGAAACAAACGGTACCGGAGGAGCTTTAGGCTTTGCTGAACTGAAGAGGTCATTGTCTTCATCATCCCCGAACAGTGTGGGGACAACTGGTTTTACAGAGCTCGGAGACGGCACCTGTAAAATGAAAATACCTCCACCAGTAAGTAGCCTCTGTGTCACCATGAAGAGGAAAAGTCTAAGGAGGCAAAGTCTAAAAGCTGTGTAGATAGAATTACTAAATAGTTCATCATAGCATAGACTTACAGATGGTTTAGGAGAAGTGGCAAAAAGGTCTACATCAGGATCGTTGTCCCTCTGTTGCATGTGACTGAAAAGTAGTTCCTCATCTTGGAACACACCAGTGCTCTTCATTTGGGGCCCATGATCCTGAGATCACAATCAAAATCAATAAATAACATTAAATAACCTACTTAAAGTCATACAAATTCATACCTCGCAGCACTGAAAATCTAAAAACAACTAACCTTTAGTGCATTCTTTTCTGTGGATTTGGATGTTTTAGGGGCAGGAATTATTTCATCAGTGTTCATATCTTCATCATCATCGTCATCATCATCATCAAAAAGACTCAGTGCTGTTTTCTTGGCCTTGGTCCCCTTACTCTCCATGGGTGGAGGACCCTCCTTTTGCAGCTTGTCACCATCAGTAATCTCCTCTTGATTCTTAGTATGTTTCTGTGGAATAGACAATCCCCATTTCTCTAACCCTTTTTTATTTAGGTGTAAACCATAATTGTCTTGTCAATGTTTATTGCCCATTTTATGCTATATGTAAATAGCATAATTTTTTTTTTACATTTTACTCACTTTACTTGTGTCTTGCTTGTCTGCTAATACATCAATCCCACCAAAAAGGCTTACTGCTCCTACTGGCTTCTTCTTACTGTCAGTGCTGTCTTCAGAGGGCTTCTTCTCCTCTGCTATCTTGTCTTTTGCTACATTAGGTGCATTCTCCTCCTCCGTAGATTCAAACAGAGAGGGAGCACCAGAAACCTGAAACACAATGCTATTTTTAGCTACTATTAAAAACACAGTAAATAAAAATTAACCTGCATTAATGTAGATGCTATGCAAAAAAGTATATATCAAATAATTTATAATGAATGATTGGAAACATACACTAACACTACCACTCAAAAGTTTTGGGCCTGTAAGATTTTTTTTTTAAAGAAATTAATACTTTATTTAGCAAGAACACATTCAAATTGATCAAAAGTGTCAGTAAAAACATGTTTAATGATATAAGATTTCAAATAAATGCTGTTCTTTTGAACTTTTTATTTCCATCAAAGAATCAAAGGGGTGGAGGAAATCACAATTTCCACCAAAATAATAAGAAGAACAACTGATAATAATCAGAAATGTTTCTAGCAAATCATCATATTAGAATGATTTCTGAAGGATCATGTGAGACTAATTATTGTTTCTCTCACTACTTAAGTACATTAACTGATCACCGATCCACAAACCTTGACTCATTTGTGGCTGCAAACAAATCATCATCATCATCATCAAACAGGCCGTCTTTTTGTGGTGTTTTGACACTGGGTAGCCTAGAGGGGGCGCTAACACTCGACTTCATCCCGCTGGACTTCACTTCCAGGCTCTCTCTGCTGAGCTTGGAGCTCATCCACTGATCCTGATATACAGACAAGCAAATGTTGTGCCATGTCATGTGATATCAGCATGCATCAACGATTGAACAAATAAAAATGCTATCAAAATAAAATGACAATTTTGTCACACTTTATTTTAAGGTCCAATTCTGGCTATTAACAAACCATTAACTATGACTTTTGCCTCAATAAACTCCTAATTTGCTGGTTACTAATAGTTAGTAAGGAAGTTAAGTTAAGTTTAGGTATTGGGTGGGATTAGGGATGTAGAATATGATCATACAGAATATGTGCTTTATAAGTACTAATAAACGTTAGGTTACTTGCGTAACCCCGGTTCTCTGAGAACAGAGCGAGGTATCTCACTATGGGAAACGCCCCAGGCGTGATAGACTATGGAAGCACCAATTACACCAGAATTTTTTATTTGCTGTAAACCCAGAGGCTGAAGTGCTTTGTGACAATACACTTGAGAACTTGTGCTTGCCCGCTTCTTCGCGGGTGGGGGAACAGATATGGGGGGCTCGGGAGAGGCCATCACAGAGAACCCTAGGTGCTGCCCGTCCCTCCCATGCAGAGATTGCGTCCTAGGTATCCCTCCTCTTTTTGAAGCACCTGATCCCCAGGAGTTACGGGCCAAGCGATGCCAAGCTTAGCTGCCGCACGCTTACAAACTTCCCCTAGGTCACAATCCACCACCGTCGACGCCACGTCGCCGCTTTGCGCGCTCACGGGCCTGGACGCTTGTGCTGCAGACAGGATAGCGTCATCCTTCTCATCATCCGGCCTGAGCGTGTTTAACACCCATGCACGCAATACACATCGGATGCGAATCCCTGCCCGAGATCATAAATCCACAAGCCGCTGGACACGAGCGCGAAGGGACATCCTTCCCTTTCTCCGCTGCGACCTTGGACCCCGACATGGTGAGTAGAATAATCTTAGCTCGCCTTAACGCATTAGCTAGAAAAAACTCAGTAACGAGTAGAGAAATCCACAACAGATTTTAACTGCACTGCGTTTGGCAACGTCTACCTTGACGGTACGTTTGTGAACTGAAGCAGCGCAGAACAGGTGCTAAAGGAAAATCTTCACGGGGAAGAGAACAAGAATGCCGTTTTCGGGGATCACAGCCATATATATATGGAGGGGGTGGGCTCCTTGTCATGAGCTGTGATTGGTCCGTCCTTCGGACAGACGTGGTGTAATTGGTGCTTCCATAGTCTATCACGCCTGGGGCGTTTCCCATAGTGAGATACCGAGCGATTGTTTGAAAGAGAACTGCCAATATGTTAATGATAGGGATGCTAACAAGGAACTAGGTAATAGTGAGAATTGGTCCCTATACTAAAGTGTTACAGACAATTTCATATAACCGTTTTGTATTGCAACATATTACTCTGTACTGTATTTTTTACAATTGTATTGACTGTAATTGGTTTACTCTGCATTACACACACACACAAATACCTCATCATCGCTGAAGAGTAAACTGGATACAGGTTTCTTGGGTTGTAGAGATGTCTTTTTGACCTGATCTGACTTGGACTTTGGTGTTGATGAAAAAAGGTCCTAAAAAAGTCAAAACAGACTTGTTGAAAACCACTGAATAGAATAAAGTATATCTAGATTACTATCTCTTTAAATTAAGCTTGCTTAACATCACCTCTTCTTCTTCATCATCAAATATTGAGAGCGGAGCTTTACTGGGTTTGTTCTGAGTTGTCGGCTTTGATTTACTTGCAGTCTCACTTGCGAATAGCTTTAAAACAAGCGAGAACCAGAACAGCAAATACATCAAGGACAAGTATCAGGAGTCAGTTTGTAATTGAGGTTGAGTGATGTAACTAAAACAAATATTTAGAATATTGTCAAGATATATATTTTAAAGGAATGAATAGTTCACCCAAAAATCAAAAATTGTGTCATCATTTACTCACCCTCATGTCGTTCCACAACTGTTTTTGAATTTTGACGAATTTTGAAGAACCAAACAGTTGTTGGTCCCCACTGACTTCAATAGTAGGGAAAGAAATACTATGGAAGTCAATGGGGACCATCAGCGGTTTGATTACCAGCATTCTTCAAAACATCTTCTTTTATGTTCAACATAAGAAAGAAACTCATACAGGTTTGAAACAACATGAAGGTGAGTAAGTGATGGCAAAATTTTCATTTTTGGGTGAACTATCCCTATAATATTTATCTCACATTAACACCCTAAAACGTCTTATCAATTTGAATAATAATTTTCATAAACAGAAACGAATCAAACCTTTTTTTGCCTGCAAAATGTCTTCATACTAAACATTAATCATTTTAATTCATGAGACAAGAAGTGGCTACAAAACTAGTCTACTAAATCTTTAGGATATTTACTAATATACTATACGAAGTTAAAATTATTAATATATAATACTATGTAATCACTGTAATATTCAGAGTGTTGCTTAATTTTGTATTGCCAAAGAAATCATTGCAAAAATACTTGAATATTAAATATATGGCCTGGCACTAATTTAAATACACTGGAAAACTGAGAATAGGCTCTCTGTATCATGACTTTAGAAAAGTTGCGTACTTGTGAGTCTTCATCGTCTGAGAACAGACTCTTGCTATGTGTTTTCTCAGATGCTCCCAGTGCAGGTGAAGATTTGACTGCTTCAGGTGGAGGTCCACTCTGCAGAAACAATGCAAAAACAATAAATAACAATGAACACAGCAGGTATTAATACAACAGAGAGACTGAAAGTTTTTTACCTCTTCAGACTTGGCAGACTCTTCACTGGTGGAAGGCCGGCGTTTCTTCAGACCCTCCAGTATATTTTTAGTGCCGGGCCCAAACATTGAAATGGCACCAACAGGAGGCTGCAAGCAAGCTCAATCAGTATATAACCAACAACAACAATCATAATGATGATTAAAAAGCAGACCTTTTTCTCTGGAGGACGTGTCTCCTCCTCCCCCTCGGCTCTTTTGTCCTGTTGGGGAAGAGCTGCACTGGCTTCAACATCATCCTCATCCTCATCAGCTTCTCCAAACAGGTCTACAGTCTTCTTTGGCATTTGCTTCTCTTGTCCTGATCACAAAGATACACATTTACGCTTTCCCAAAAAGACAGTCAAGTTGTCATACTTCAGGGCAAATGTTAGATATGTACCAGGGGTGGATTTGTTAGGCGTATTCCCACTGAAGAAGTCATCATCATCGTCATCCTCATCAAACAGCCCACCTCCCACCGAGGCACGCTTTGGAGCTGCCTGCACTTTGGGCTTCGATGGACTCTTACTGCCTTTGCTCTCTAGTGAGTCTGAATCATTTGGTGAGCCAAAAAGTTTGTTTTCTGTGGGCATGAAGAAATCTTACTCATTAGTTACTACAGAAAACTTTTATGTCAAACAGTGTGCGGGTATGCAAATTGAATGCAGTTAATGCTTACCAGGAAAGATGGAGACAGCGCCAGTGGGTATTTTCTTAGTTTTAGGGGGCTCTACAAAAGCAAATGAAAAAGATAAGATGACAAGTATGTAAAGGAGTTTTATGTGTCAACACATGGTGGGTTTCAGAATGTACAAAGAGAAAACTGAGTAAGAAAATGATACTGTACAGCCATTGAGTCATTATAGTTAAAAAAAAAAAAAAAATCCTGACACAACGCTTGTTAAATGACTATTTATAAAACACATATATACACAAATTTTTTTTTTTAGTATGAGTTTTTTTTCTGTCAGACAGTTATTTTAAATGGCTATTTACAAAATACATAAATAGAAATTAAATAATTATTACATTTTTCCCAGTCACCCCGGTATTATTTACAAACTACATAAATAAATAGAAATAAATCTAAATTCATTTTCTTTTTTTTTTTTGTGAGAAGAAAGAGATTGCATAATGAAAGCAGGAAATCGGTTGGTTGGAACAATGGATCCTATTTGACTACAGTATTGCGCAAATAACCAATCAGTATAAAAATTGTGATGTAACGGAAGTAGTGACAGATCTTTTCTTCTATACTGTGATGTACAACTAAGTGAAATCACTTTGTGAAATCACAAAATAAAATTAGTGCAGGACTTGTTTCTATGCATCTGAATGTGAGCTTGCATCACTGAATTATCTAGTAGGACTGGCCTACATCTGACTTTAAATGGGCAACAGAATTAGATCTGAGAAGAGTGAGTGACAATTACTAAGTCTTACCTGTTGCCTGGACTACAGTCTTTTCCTTTTCTATCGGCTCGGTTTTGGGTGCATCAGAAAACAGATCTCCCTAAAGAACAAATATTATGAACTGACTTTCACAGATTACTACCATGTCTTTTTCTAGATGTACTTGTATGCATTTGTATGATACTATATTATTATTTACCAACCTCATCGTCATCATCAAACAGGCCTTTGCCTCCACTAAAAAGTCCACCCTTTCCACCGAATGGAGAATATTCCTCATCTTCCATTTTTGGTGGTTTGAACATCTCATCCTGATCATCCTCCACTGTAATTACATATACATAAAATACATGACAATTATTTTACTAGCTACAGTATACTGAAAAGAGATACTGTATATCCACTTCTGAAAAGAAATTATGATACAACTATACCAGAAGTTTCAAAAATGCTAGATAACAGTGTAGTTGTTTTCAATAAAACAATGCAGCTACAGTCATCTGCTGATTTTTATATGTACATACACTACCATACAAAAGTATGGAGTCAGTATTATTATTTATTTTTGAATGTAATATTTTAATAAGAAAGAATACATTCAATTTGTGCATTAAAGCTTTGCTATGACAAGAAAAAAATATAAATATATTAAAATAGTAAAATGTTTTCACTATATTTTTGATCAAATAAATGAAGCTCTGGTGATCATAAGAGACTTCTTTCAAGAATCCTGGGGGAAAAAAATACCGACCCCAAGCTCTCGAACGGTAGTGTGCATTTGGCAGCATGATCTGATAAGCACATGCTATATGAAGTGAATACACAGTCGCTCATACCCTGAGGTTTTGACTCTTTCTTTGTTTTACTCTTCTTCTGGGTGATGGATGGGCCTGATGACAATGCTTGAGAACAAACAAGTGCATGCACACAGATAAACTTGAGAAAGAAATCTAACTGAATTGAAAGATGAAAAGGTGTTAAACAATAAAATTCATATGTTGTTCATGACCATACATGTGCGATCTGCTTCTGGCTTATTTGGAGTCCCTCCCTTGATTCTGGCTGCTAGTTCATCAGCAAAGGATGGCAGACCAGTGTCCTCCTGAAAGACATGAGATGCAAGAAACCTAATGTTAAGTTTTAGTTTGCACAATTTTGTAAGATAACGTCTCATAATACTAATTTGCTAAGTATGTCAGAGGTGCTAAGAAAATACAAAGCTATTAACCTTTTTGAGCTCATCTTCATCCTTATCAGAGCCTCCAAATATGTCAGAATCTTCATCTTCATTCTCTTCATCAGTATCATCATAACTAGCAACAGATGGCTTCTATGGGATGAACAAAAGAATGTTTGACCAGAATTACAGTAATCTATATGTGGTGCACTCAATGTAAAACACTTTTTTTTTTTTATTGATTTACCTAAATAAGGCTTTATCAAATGTATAATTCACTAGATTACTAATTACATTTCTAAAAGAAATTGACCTATTTAAAGAAATAAGTATCAAAAATAACACTTTGAATAAAATATATATATGAAGAGTTCCGATAACTCCATTTTTATTGTTTTTCAGAAATCACGTTTTTTTTATTGTGCATTCCATTAAGGGGTCTAAACATCGAAATCGCTTATTGATAAAATGATAAAAACGCATTTTCGCTATAAAATGGGTATATTTAGGTTTGGGGGTAGGTTAAGGGGTCTAAAAATCTAAATAGCTTATTGATAAAATGATAACAAAAAATGCATTGATACGAATATCTTAATGATATAAAAGATACGTAAATATTTTTACGTTTTTTAGCTAAAAATAAGTAGCGATTTGTTCGTTTTAAACGTTGAAATACGTCTAAATTGTACGTTTTGGCATTAATAAAAACGTACAAAAGTGTACGTTTTGTGCTTGTAAATGTTACGTATTAATACCTACGTATAAACATGAGACCTGGCTGGATGTGATTACACGCAATACACAGTTTTTCCCTCACCATTGTAATGCGCTGCTTTTGCAAGGTTCCGTGAAAACGTTTCAGCTTTTATTTTCCTTTTTCTCCCTGAAGATGATATCACTGGTTCATTAAGTTCATCGAAATTATCCATCCTCGATCACTTTTAGTCAGCTTTGACGAAACTCCTCTGAGCTAGCACGTCTTTTCAAAGTGAAAGTAGTTTTGTCACCTGACCTGAATACAGCGTGCTGATTCGCTAAAATTTACTTATTATGGCGTTATTTTAATGACAAATGTCGAGAGCGCATTATTGTAGCGCGAAAGCACATTAATATTATGCGCGAGCGCGAATCTCTCCGCTCGCGTGCGGATTTCTTTTGCTCTCGCACAAAACCGGACTTAAAACGTGTCTCTCCTCTCACTCAAACTGTGTCCTGTGCACTCTCAAATCTCTGTGCTCATGCACT